ACAGTAAGATTCAAGATGAGATATTTTCGAAAAGCATGAGTAATAAGGAGATAAAACTGCTCAAAACTATTCTTATGTATAGAATTGGCGTATATCTACCGATCTTTTTCGTAGTAGTTACAATAAACTGTAAACGACAAGTAAATGGAAAACTTGGGTCACGTAGTACAAATTCACTTTTACCATTTGCCGTAAACGTGATATTAGCGTTATTAAAGTCTGCCATATTGGTGCTCCGAAGTGTTTTGGCCATTTTGCAGTTCTGAGTCGAATCATATCATGGAACAGTTTGGGAGACAATTTTTGTCCCATTTTCCTACACAATCTCGTACAGTGTAACCTCTGGGACACCTGCATTCAAGCCGGGACACCACCATTCAGGGGACACAAGATTTGGTCCCGGCAAAATCTTCATATAATCTTTGTATTTGTTACCTCTTTTGAACGGACACCTCTATTCAGGGGAAAGGGGCATTTTTTCTGGGCCCCGAAACCTCAGGGTTTAACCTCCATTCATGGATCACCTTAGCAATCAAAAGTGCGTCAAAAGTGACTGACCGCAAAAATCGTCGATATAAGTTTAAAGGTTCACTTGTCACAATGGTGACAGCTTTCAAAACATGAATTAACTCACTTAAATCAATGCACTGCATTTGTGGGAATTCAACACACAACATCGCAGAGATTCGCAGAGATAAGTTAATCATGATTTTTTTTATATATTTTCTAGCTGAGTGAAATGATGACTGCATCAGATTCCGTAGCCAGATGCATTTATCGGCTCTAATAACAATATTTTATTTGTTGGTTAATTATTAACAAATCTCAGCCCAACCTCCATTTAATAAAGAGACACCTCTATTCAGACGACATGTCCCTTGGTTCCGAGGGTGTCCCCTGAATACAGGTTCCACTCAGAGTAATAGCCAATAACTGAGACCAAGAGCCATAGTGCAATTCGACAATACACCGACCCAGCCTCTAGGGCAGCAAATCACTCCATATTTAATCGGTTTTTGCTTTCTTTTAATAAACCCTTATTAGTAAAATTTGTCTTATTTACAACAAACCGCTTCATTACTGAGTAATTTAGGGAATGTGCTACGGCAGTTTAATCCAGTTTCTTTAGCCTTTGACAATTTCTTGCCCTGAAACTTGACGTTGCAAATAACAAAATAACGGCTTCGTTACAAACACATTCTTTGAGCGTTGACTTGAGTAGTCAACATCATGATGCTCTTTATGTATAAATAGCCAGAGAATTCCAGTTTACAGAAGCAGCAACTGTGCAAAGATTGAACATTTGGAGATGAGCTGCAGGTCAAGACGTTTAATTTCTTTCGGGGCTTTTTATCCAACGAAATTTATTTGTGTTTAATTCTATCATGATCTACAACCCGAACTAATACCCGCGAAAGTAAAAGATAAGAATATGGAAGTAGAGGACACAAAAATGGATTGTACTTACAGCGATCGCTTCCTTGAAACACTTACCTCACACATGAAATGAATTACAATCTAGGAAAGAACTCCAGAACAAAAAACCAACTCACTAGCATAGCTGTCCATTGAAAAATCCTCAAAGAAGGCTTGTAACCTGTAGAAGCACTTGGCGGATATGAAAACAAAAGTTGAAAGGAAACCAGGAAAAGCACATGTATCTGAAGCTTGGCTCGAAAGTAGAATCATTGACTTGCAAAAGAGGGCGCGATGGTCGACAAAGGGCCTGATACCGGAAGCGTGATCTGTGTCTATGATATAATTTTTTTAATAATCTTTTGCATGAGCAGGTGGAATTGACAGGGCTTTACACAAGTTGCTCGAGATTTTCCAAAAAGTTACCCGTGACTTCACAAAAAGTTGCTCAAAAATTGCTCAGGAAACAACAAAAGTTGCTTTTTGTAACGAAACTTGCTCAAAAGTTGCTCGAAAAAACCAAACATTTTTTGGTCTGATGCTAAAATATGCAAACTGTACAACAAAAATAAGATTTCTAAGCATTTTGGGGCAATTTTGCGGCGTAACCAGCGTTGCTAAACAACTTTGTCCTCAATTGTAAAACCACAAAATGTAATGAGCCAATAAAATTGTTGAATGACCTTCTTCACCCGAGACACTCAAGTCAGTCGAGTGTGACTGATGTTCGTCCACCATTTTGAATTTTTTCTAAAAACCGCTGACCTAGAAGTCCGACTACTTTTATACTTTAATCTGCCTCAGGGGGAGGATTTGGTTGCCTTTTTTTACGGGAAATTCATACGTTTTCTACTTATAAAACATTGTGGAATATGGAAGAAAGGCCAATTTAAGCACTAAAAGCCCAGGCTTGATATCTCAGAATTAGAAGATAACTAGAGAAATTGCTCATGGAAAACCAGCTGGAAACGAAAAAAGTTGCTCAAAATACGAGAAGTTGCCAAAAAGTTGCCGAGCAACTTGTGGAAAGCCCGAGGAATTGAATGGAGCAAAAGAAATCGAAATAACGAGAGGAACATGCGTAATTGACCATCACAAAAAAGGTGCATCAAAGCCGCCCTTTATTCTACTCTATGTGTAAAGTATTAAGTGCTTACGTCCTTAAATACGGTGAAACAAATATAGTCTTATATTTAACTCTTACAAACAAAACATTGTACGAGACGCTTTACTTAATTGAACGATTCTCTTAGTTTCCGTCTGCTTCAGCCATAGTGTTGAAAGGACTTTCTGAGGGGACTAGCTAGCCCTTACAACAAACAACTTTTTCTGACTCAATGGTGTTTTATTCACTTTCAGCTCCTAGCTTATAATTCTCTCTCTGGTAGTTTAGTGTTACACTCATTTTTATATGCAGGCGTAAGTCTAATCTGATTGGTTGAAAAAGCCTCAAAAGCCTAATTAGCATGCATGAAATCTTCGAGATAATTATTTTGTCAAAATGGTTTTTCTGCCTAAGTTTTCACTATGATTAAGCTTAGGTCAACTGGCCAATACAAAACAAGGAGAACAATATACTACAAGGTATATACTCGTGTACAGACTTTTCATAATGAAAGAAAGGAAAACAGTAAATATACAGTTTGAAAACCTAAGGTTGTTGTCGATTTACAGAAGGTGTGAAGCTTCTTCATTGAAAATGATTGGCTAAAACTTTTCCACAAATTAACCACTCAGAGGGTAAATTAAAAATGCGGTTCAAAGTACAAGGCAGAATTTAGATCAATAGTCTTTTACCCACAAAAACACCTATAAAATCACTTAAATCTAATTAAAGTTATCCACTGCGATGAATTCGGTGAAAAACTCAAGGAAACAGGCTTAAAACTGTTAAAAACAAGTAAGGTAGTCATTTCCTGGTAAACATCGACATAGGACCAGATGAAGGTCCAAAATGTTAAATTGAACAAAATAATTAGTGTAAACAAGGCTTTGCCATCTGTCAAAGGCTCAAATTAAACATATTTCATGAATAGAAGTGTCACCGCGGAGATTCACCAAATTGGTAATCTCCTTAGCACCGAATTCACGTCAGGAGAAGGTTAATGTTGATGACTATTTTAAACGTCGAACTTGTAGACGAAAGTGTATGATTCCATTGATGCATTTTTATTGTTTAACAATAGGGGTAGCTACAGTTTATGCTTAGTCTCGAGAAAAAAATTATTGCACAGAAAAGAATTACATCAAAGCTGAAGCCACACTAACAAAGAATGTGGGAATGAATGCCATCAAAAAGCTTTTATGAACGGACCAGCCACCCCCGTGCCATCCTCATTTGCAGCGCACCAAAACAAACGCATGCTTTGAAGGGGTGTTGGCGTTACTGGCAAAGCGTGTGTCCCTGCCAGGACTAAACTCGTTTACTGCGCGTATCACCAAGCCGTTATTAGGTACTCCTCTACTCCACGCCTTCACCGCATTTGTGACGTCAAACTCCACAAAACCTCGGGGTCTGTAGGGAAAGATAGTGACAATTCCTCGTTGGGGAGTTGCCTCAGCGTCTCTGCCGTCCAGCGCTAGCCATGGGGAAGACCAACGAATGCCACGTTTGCGCATAGTACTGGTTGCTTGAGATTCAGCCCACGGTTTTTTAACAAGGTACACTCGCAAGTAACGCAGAATGAAAGGGACACTTTTGATAGAGCTAAAACTTGCTTTGTGGGAATACTCATAGTACAAGTACATTTTGGCTGAAATCACATTCGATGATGGACACGAACTGGGAAGATTTTCAAACTGGACCAATGAGCGCTTGTTAGGATATCCCGGGTGTTTGGATACTATGAGATATTTCAAACTGTTAAAGTTTTGGCTTCCCCTCTCTAGAGTGACATCTTGAGTCACACTAAGCTTGAGTACTTTACCAGCGCCTGTGTCAAATGTCATCACACCACACGCAGGGGGAGGTACTAACAGCACCATCAACAAGGCCATAACGCTTACTGCTGATTGTTCCATGCCCTAAACAAAAGCATACAATGTAATGGACAAGGGCAAGGTCTTATATGAGGATATGTGAGAGCTAGTTATTGCCTGCAAAGTGGAAAATTAACGCAACATTTCTGTCATATCTCTAGTTCTTGAATGGTAATATTTATATTATGGTTGACTCTATAACTGCTCTATAAGCAGGCTACTTGAGCGAAGAAAATGAGCCTATATATTGCCCCTTCGAATTGCCCGCCATGTTCTGAAAAGTCATAATTTCTTTTGGCCATATGATAAATCTTTTATTGACCAAGCGTAAAGTCAAGATGGGATATTAGCTTTCTTTTTCTTCTGTGAGACTCCTCCTCCACCATACTGATAAAGATGCAGAAAAACACTGGCCAATATCTAGCAAGATATTGACCTCACACTTGGTCAATAACTGACGCGTGTACTTTTACGCTTGCTCAGTAAACAGAGGTTAAGACGACAAATATCAAAGTCATTTGTCTCAAAAAAGGAAAGTAATTAATCAAGTGAGTATATTAAGTAATGGTCCAGATAAGAGGGAAAGAGCCAAAGGCAATGAACACGTCGGAATGCGGAAAAGGTGATAACCCTACTACTGTCTCTACTACACTTCTGACTGGTTAAAACATGTCAAATTTTACGAAATCTCCGCAAAGCAGCATGTATATTAGTCCCTTGTTTTCTAACCAACTTCCTCATAACAAAATCTCGTCTGAGTTTAACTAACACAGAAATCCTATGTGACGAACATATAGACGCACATTTTTAGATTCTATTTCAACTTTCACAACTCTCTTTCATTTTATTTTTATTATTTCACCGCGCTCTCAAAACGAGAACACAAACATGACGTTGAGTTGTTAGGTAGAGCTATTAGGGAGCTTAAGCAACAGCGTTTTTGAGCGACGGACGTCAACCGGAAGTGGACTTTTTGCAGCGTTGGGCTGTGGTTTGGTTGAAACCCTAAGGTAAATCGTCTTTATGGGAGAAAAAAAAGTCAGCAATACAAATTTGGTAGTGTCCAGGCGTATAAAAAGGGAAAAGGCCTCACTTCCGGTTGACGTGCGTCGCTCAAAAACGTCTTTGCTTAAGCTCCCTATTGTCGCATTGAGAACCACTTCGAACGAAGGATGAGAAAAATGTCACAGCGAGGTGCGACAGAGTTGCCGGTTCAAGTCAAGTCATCAAATGAATTAATGATAAGGTTAATTAAAAAAAAAAGGAGTTGTACGCTCGGTTTAGTGCAGGAAACATCGCGACTATGATTTCAGTCTTTCGCAACTAGGTTTTAGCTAAAGTTAGGAAACATCTTAAGAAACTAATTTTGGTTTAAGAATAGAAGTTCGCTATTAGAAGAGTAATACTCTTCTAATAGCGAGCTTCTATTTTTAAATCAAAATTACTTTCTCATAATAAGATGTTTCCTAACTGCAGTTAAAAACTAGTTGCGAAAGACTGACATAAGATGTTTCCTAACTTCAGTTAAAACCTAGTTGCGAAAGACTGAAACCATAGTCGTGATGTTTCCTGCACTAAACCGAGCGTACAACTTATTTTTTATCCTTATGTTTAATTCATTTAATGACTTGACTAGAACCGGCATCTCTGGAAAAGTAAGGTTTTAAATCAGGTTTCTTTTTTCCCTCTGACACGGAAATATCTACTTCCGCAATTATGCTTTCTAGATTAACATTCACTGGGCACTAAACATTCTTCAAAGTGTGCTAATGCCTCAAAACAATCAGGAGCACCCAACGACGGTTTCATGCTACAGTTTGCTGTAATTGCATTGAAAACACTTTTTAGGCTATCCAGAGTACTTTTAGATCACTAAAAACGTATTCTAAGTGGCGCTAAAAAATTCTTTTATATTCTAATTCGCTACCCCGCTCAAACGAATATAAAACATTTATCATGTAAAAAGCAACCTCAATTGGGGTGTGTCAACACGAGCCGTGTGCGACCCTCTTTATTATGCCTTCATCGACAGAATGGATGGAAATAATACAACAAACCATAGTTAATTGAGTGGAATGGTTATGAAACCCGTCAGACTCCTTTGTTATATGTTTTTGTGGACCTGAAAGTGCACAACGTACAAAAGAATTCCTATCATTTTGATTGTATTGACCAATAAAAACGTTGCATTAATTTATTCCGTAACAATTTGCCAACAGAAAACAAAGGATTGTGCACTGTCACGGTGCTTTGAACATAAACTGCAGCACTGTTGTTTTTATCATTGATGTTTGCCGCTTTTCATAACCAGTCTCCTCTAATAACTATGAACAAACAGAATGAAAACTCGGAAATGTAAAAAATTACAGCAAGAAGAACAACCCTACAAAATGATCTAAACTATGCTCGTATAACAACGATTCAGTAAACATACAAAACGTGCTAAACCTTTCATATAGCAGCATGCAAAAAACTACGTCTAAGAGAAACCCCTGGTCACTGGGTATTTAATTTTGAGGGCGTAGGGACGGTCGTAAGACGCGAATGAATATAAATGAGAACAACTCGAATATATATAGCCTACCGCTAATGAAGCAACAGAACAGCATACCATGTAACACCCCAAAGAAAAGGTTACATAACCCATGATAAATACATATCTGCTCGGTCATCCTAGGGCAACTTGAGTGTTTTAGAAATTACAAGGGCTTCAGTATTGTTTTCCCGAAAATTTTAGCTGCAACTTAAAGTTTTACGAAAGTGAGAATTTTTCTGATTCCTCTCTACAACGCATTTTCGATTCCCAAAAAGTTAGGTTTTCTTTCTCTACGAAAAATAGCTTAACCCGGTAGTGAAATGGGAAAAATTTAACTTCAGAAAACCTTAGGGAATTTATTAGATAAGCTTCGAAAACTGTACATGAATGGACAGTCATCTAGAAGTTTTCAGCCTTCTCAAACTTTTGAAAATTCTGGGCAATTTTTGCTTCTCCGAACAGGTATTTCACAGAAAACAGCCGTTGGGTGCCCCTGAACAATGTCAAATCTTGTTCTTTACTTTAATATCTCCAGGTGGAAAAACCCAAACATTCTAGACGAATGATTGAAATCGAGACCAATAGACCCTTCGTTTAGTTAGTATAGGTTCAAGCATTTATAGCTATAATTTGACATTTACTTAATAACCATTACACGGCCATGGCAAGTTTATTGCACTGTTGCTAGCTTGCTTAAGTCTAAATATTAAAACTCAATAGCTTCGCTACTTACCAGAAGTAAAAACGGGGAATAAGACTTCAATACTGTTAAAAAACTGTGATCAGTCCGTTTTACTACTTATCAATGAAGATACATTGATGCCACATCGATCTTTTGCATCAGCGATGTCGTGATTCAGCATTTTTGACATTGTACGGTTGTGAAGACATTGGATATAAGGCAGCTTAGCAACCACGACAGCAACATTACCGTCAAAAGAGAAAGAGATGCTCATTGTTTACAAACACTGAGTATTTTTTATTGAAATGTGCAAGGAATGAAACAATGCACTTGAGGTTGCCACGTGATTAGGGAGCTTACGCAAACACGATGGCGACGATAACGACTGGTACGTCAAATAATAATAAAAAAGAACAACAATATTAGTGTTTCTAGGAGCCGATTACGTCATGTTAGCCATCTTGGCGTCCCTATACAACAAAACGGTGGCCATGTTGGTGTCTCAATAAATTTGCATGGCTGCTGGCCACTTGAGTGAAAACGTTCTAACAGTACACCTTTCAGTGCATTTCTTTCATAAATTTCACGTTTTATGGTGAATGTGAACACAACACGATTTTTTTTCTGTATTTCTCTTTCCTGAACTTGGACTGAAGGACTCTAAGAATTCCACTCCAGAAAAATTTGCTTACATTTGCAGACAAATTAAACGAAATGGAATCATGCGACGAAGTTTGCCAAAGCGTGAATTGTTCCTGCAGGCGATTAACGCCATTGTCGAAGTATAATAATGAGCCAAATTTCGATGATGCTGAAAATGGTGTTGCTGATGTTGGCAGTGATAATTGTGGTCTTATTGGTGGTAGGACGACGACGATAATGATGATGATAAATAAAAAACGCACTCTTTTAAAACCACGGATTCATGATCAGATCCTCAAGCAAGTGGGGGAAGCTGCTCATCAAGACCCTGATAAGAGAGAGCCTGACCAAGAAAATAAGATTTGTTGACCCTGCGCGCTTCACTTGGCCTTAAAATTGGTGTGGGGGCCCAGGCCCTTCGGTCCCCTCCCCTAAATCTGCCGGTGAAAATGTCATTGCAACTGGCACGAAATTACTAATTGAGGACTTTGTTTTTACATCTCTTACCGGAGATGGGAACGCCATTTCTACATTGTCAGCTCAGCCAAGCGAAGGCATAGCCACAGCAAATGTGAGGATGTGTAAAATGCGACATTACATGTCATTTATCCAAGGCGCTGAATATACATTACCCCACAACACACGTACGCTGAATCCAGTTGCAGATTGGAAAAGTATAGTAGTAAGTTTCTTTTGGCCATTTTGCAGTCTTGTGTGTAATTGCATCATGTAATAGTTTTTGCGGACGACTATTTGCCCATTTGCCCCAGTTTTCTGTGCAACCACGTAATAGTCAATAACTGATAGTGAGCTTAAGTAAAGACATTTTGAGCGAGGCACTCACCTCAACCGGAAGTGGTGTTTTTTCATTTTTGGACGGTGGTTTTACCCAAATTTTTGAACAAATCGTCTCTATAATAGTAAAGACACTTAAAAATACAAATTTGGTAGCGTCAAGGAGCTTTAAAATGAAGAAGACCTCACTTCCGGTTAAAGTGCGAAGCACAAAAACGCCTTTGCTCTGGCCTGTGCTTAAGCTCTCTAGAAAGTCGCGATAGCGTCCCAGAAACATTCCCATAATGCATCTGGAAACGACGCCGAGCCAGTCTTTCGTGCAACAAATCACTCCATATTAATCAGTTTTTGTTTCCTTTTAAGAGACCCTTTTTAGTAAAATTTGTCTTATGTACAACAAACTGCTTCATTACTGAGTGGTTAAGGAAATGCGCTACGGCAGTTTAATCCATTTTGTTTAGTCTTTGACAATTTCTAAAACTTGACGTTGCAAATAACAAAATTATGGCTTCGTTACAAAAACATTCTTTGAGCGTTGACTTGAGGAGTCAACGTGATGCCGCTCTTTTAAGTATAAATAGGCAGAGAATTCCAGTTTACAGAAGCGGCAACTGAGCAAAGATTGAACATTTGGAGATGAGCTGCAGGTCGAGACGTTCAATTTCTTTCGGGGTTTTTTCTCCAACGAAATTTATTTTGTGTTTTCTTCTCTCTACGCGTTCTACAACCCCGAACTAATATCCCCGAAAGTAGAAGGTAAAAATATGGAAGTCGAGGACACAAAAATGTATTGTACTTACAGCGATCGCTTGCTTGAAACACTTACCTCTCACATGAGATGAATTACAATCTAGGAAAGAACTCCAGAACAGAAAGCCAAGTCAATAGCATAGCTATCCATTGAAAAATCCTTAAAGACGGCTTGCAATCTGTAGAAGCACTTGGCGGATATGAAAAAAAAAGTTGAAAGGAAACCAACAAAAGCACATGTATCTGAAGCTTGGCTCGAAAGTAGAATCATTGACTTGCAAATAAAGGACGGGTGGTTAGCAATGCGCCTGATACCGGAAGCGTGATCTGTGTCTATGATATAACATTTCAATAATCTTTTGCATGAGCATGTGGAATTGATAGGGCTTTACACAAGTTGCTCGAGATTTTCCAAAAAGTTGCTCAAAAATTGCTCAGGAAACAACAAAAGTTGCTTTTTGTAACGAAACTTGCTCAAAAGTTGCTCGAAAAAACAAAACATTTTTTGGTCTGATGCTAAAATAAGCATTTTGGGGCAATTTTGCGGCGTAACCAGCGTTGCTAAACAACTTTGTCCTCAGTTGTAAAACCACAAAATGTAATCAACCAATAAAATTGTTGAATGACCTTCTTCACCCGAGACAATCAAGTCAGTCGAATGTGACTGATCTTCGTCCACCATTTTGAATTTTCTCTGAAAACCGCTGACCTAGAAGCCCCATTACTTTTATACTTTAATCTTGCGCCCATGATCTGTCTCAGGGGGAGGATTTGGCTCCTTTTTTTTACAGGAAATTCATAAGTTGTCTACTTATAAAACGTTGTGAAATATGGAAGAAAGGCCAATTTAAGTACTAAAAGCTGCTTGATATCTCGGAATTGGAAGATAACTAGAGAAATTGCTCAGAATGGAAAACATAGCTGGAAACGAAAAAAGTTGCTCAAAATACGAGAAGTTGCTAAAAAGTTGACGAGCAAAAAGGGAAAGCCCTAGGAATTGAATCGAGCAAAAGAAATCGAAATAACGAGAGGAACATGCGTAATTAACCATCACAAAAAAGATGCATCAAAGCCGTCCCTTATTCTACTCTATGTGTAAAGTATCAAGTGCTTACGTCCTTAAAAATACAGTGAAACAAATAAAGTCTTATATTTAACTCTTACAAACAAAACATTGTACGAGACGCTTTACTTAATTGAACGACTTTCTTAGTTTCCGTCTGCTTCAGCCATAGCGTTGAAAGGACTTTCTGAGGGGACTAGCTAGCCCTTACAACAAACAACTTTTTCTGACTCAATGGTGTTTTATTCACTTTCAGCTCCTAGCTTACAATTCTCTCTCTGGTAGTTTATATAATTAGTGTTCCACTCATTTTCATACCAGCCAGTAAACCATCCACTTAGTGTAAACTAATGCAGGCGTAAGTCTAATCTGATTGGTTGAAAAAGCCTGAAAAGCCTAATTAGCATGCATGAAATCTTCGAGATAATTATTTTGTCAAAATGGTTTTTCTGCCTAAGTTTTCACCATGATTAAGCTTAGGTCAACTGGCCAATACAAAACAAGGAGAACAATATACTACAAGGTATATACTCGTGTACAGACTTTTCATAATGAAAGAAAGGAAAACACTAAATATACGGTTTGAAAATCTAAGGTTGTTGTCGATTTACAGAAGGTGTTAAGCTTCTTCATTGAAAATGATTGGCTAAAACTTTTCCATAAATTAACCACTCAGAGGGTAAATTAAAAATGCGGTACAAGGCAAAATTTAGTTCAATAGTCGTTTACCCACAAAAACACCTATAAAATCACTTAAATCTAATTAAAGTTATTCACTGCCATGAATTCGGTTAAAAACTCAAGGAAACAGGCTTAAAACTGTTAAAAACAAGTAAGGTAGTCATTTCCTGATAAACATCGACATGGGACCAGAGTAAGGTTCAAAATGTTAAATTGAACAAAATACTTAGTGTAAACAAGGCTTTGCCATCTGTCGATCAAAGGCTCAAATTAAACATATTTCATGAATAGAAGTGTTACCGCGGAGATTCACCAAATTGGTACATCTCCTTTGCACCGAATTCATGTCAGGAGAAGGTTAATGTTGATGACTATTTTAAACGTCGAACTTGTAGACGAAAGTGTATAATTCCATTAATGCATTTTTATTGTTTAACAGTAGAGGTAGCTACAGTTTATGCTCAGTCTCGAGAAAAAAATTATTGCACAGAAAAGAATTACATCAAAGCTGAAGCCACACTAACAAAGCATGTGGGAATGAATGCCATCAAAAAGCTTTTATGAACGGACCAACCACCCCCGTACCATCCTCATTTGCAGCGCACCAAAACAAACGCGTGCTTTGAAGCGGTGTTGGCGTTGGAGGCAAACCGTGTGTCCCTGCCAGGACTAAACTCGTTTGTTGCGCGTATCACCAAGCCGTTATTAGGTACTCCTCTACTCCAGGCCTTCACCGCATTTGTGACGTCAAACTCCACAAAACCTTTGGGTCTGTAGGGAAAGATGGTGACAGTTCCTCGTTGGGGATTTGCCTCAGCGTCTCTGCAGTCCAGCGCTAGCCATGGGGAAGACCAACGGATGCCACGTTTGCGCATGGTACTGGTTGCTTGAGATTCAGCCCACGGTTTTTTAACAAGGTGCACTCGCAAATAACGCAGAATGAAAGGGACACTTTTGATAGAGCGAAAACTTGGTTTGTGGGAATACTCATAGTACAAGTACATTTTGGCTGAAATCACATTCGATGATGGACACGAACTGGGAAGATTTTCAAACTGGACCAATGAGCGCTTGTTAGGATATCCCGGGTGTTTGGATACTATGAGATATTTCAAACTGTTGAAGTTTCGGCTTCCCCTCTCTAGAGTGACATCTTGAGTCACACTTAGCTTGTGTACTTTACCAGCGCCTGTGTCAAATGTCCTCACACCACACGCAGGGGGAGGTACTAAATATAACACCGCCATCAACAACGCCATAACGCTTACTGCTGATTGTTCCATGCCCTAAACAAAAACATGCAATTTAATGGACAAGGGCAAAGTCTTATATGAGGATATGTGAGAGCTAGTTATTGCCTGTAAAGTGGAAAATTAACGCAACATTTCTGTCATATCTCTAGTTCTTGAATGGTAATATTTATATTATGGTTGGCTCTATAACTGCTCTATAAGCAGGCTACTTGAGCGAAGAAAATGAGCCTATATATTGCCCCCTTCCAATTGCCCGCCATGTTCTCAAAAGTCATAATTTCTTTTGGCCATATGATAAATCTTTTATTGACCAAGCGTAAAGTCAAGATGGGATATTAGCTTTAGTCTTTTTCTTCTGTGCGACTCCTCCTCCATCCATACTGATAAAGATGCATAAAAACACCGGCCACTGGCTAGCAAGATATTGATCTCACACTTGGTCAATAACTGACGCGTGTACTTTTACGCTTGCTTAGTATACAGAGGTTTAGACGACAAATATCAAGTCATTTGTCTAAAAAAAGGAAAGTAATTAATCAAGTGAGTATATTAAGTAATGGTCCAGATAAGAGGGAAAGAGCCAAAGGCAATGAACACGTCGGAATGCGAAAAAGGTGATAGCCTTACTATTGTCTTTAGTACACTTCTGACTGGTTAAAACATGTCAAATTTTACGAAATGTCCGCAAAGCAGCATATATATTAGCCCCTTGTTTTCTAACCAACTTCCTCATAACAAAATCTCGTCTGAGTTTAAGTAACACAGAAATCCTATGTGACGAACATGTAGACGCGACAGAGGTGCCGGTTCAAGTCAAGTCATTAAGTGAATTAAAGATAATTATAAGGTGAATTTAAAAAAAGGAGTTGTACGCTCGGTTTAGTGCAGGAAACATGACGACTATGGTTTTTGTGTATCAAAAATGTCTGTAACGTATGAACACTGCTTTTCAAATTTTTTTGATTCTAATGATAGGTGTCACTTATGACGTCATATTTTCAAGAAATGTCAAAAATACCTTAACAATGGTAAAAATTTAAAGAAAACGTTTCTCTAATTAAGATGTTCTAACGTCTTGCTTCATTTGGAACATAAACTACTCCTCTGTGAGCCAAAAATTGAATTTGAGAGGTTGCGGGAGGAAAGGCCCTATCAACCGACCGTCGTGTACTTGTCTTTTCGGTTAAAATGTTTGTGACTTTTGAGCCTGTCGATGCTGATATACTGTCTACTAATCATATTTCTTATTTATAACTGCCATGAGATGATTGAGTTGCACGCTAAATCCATGTAGCAAAGAAAGAGAAACAATGGCACACAAGTTTAGTTTATAAAACGGATCAGACTGGTCGGAAAATGAGATAATACTGTACGGGAGTCTATGTTATGAGTACGCTTAATTGCTATCCCTGTACACTTCTGCATGTACACTCTTAATGAAAAAAATCAACGAAAAGCCACATGTCGTTTTCATTAATTCCAGAGTTAGTAACACCATGCACATAGTACCTTTCTACTTTACCGTAGGACACATCAAAGATCCCCAACCCCCTTACCCCGGACTGTCAGCTCTAACATACCTTTACAGATACGTTTACCCAACTTCTGATTGTATGTACTCACTGTCCAGACTGTCTGCGATTTCAATCAAATTGGGCTTGAATAACGAAGGGAATTACTTTCTGGAAGAAAGCAGGAAGTTTTTATACCCTAGCATGACATGACGTACGCTTTTATTTTGACCACTTTCCACTCAGGGTCCTAAATTCAAAAATGGGCATTGATCAGCAGATATTTGATTTCCCTCTTTGCCGCCTGCTGAATATCGTTGGTTATGGAAGGCTTTGCGGTCTGCATGTGACATTAACTCGTCGTTTTTAAACAATTGAGAGCCAATGGATCTCTTGTATAATTTGCATACTTTGAGAGTTTCACAGAGCCCACAAGAGAAAAGGCTGATGAGGGGAGATGAAGTTGGGTGATTTCACACATGTGTAATATTATTTTGAAAACCAAACAAGGAAGCATGACTGAACCGGATCAACGTAGTGAGAAAAATTTCCGTTGCAGGTCAAAATTGAGAAAGGGTAAACGTGTTGACCTTGGGGGCAAGCCCAGTAACTGGACAGGAAAAAATGAAAAGAATTATAAGATCCATAATCTTAAAATTTCTCTTCTGCTGGTGATTTTGAAGCTCGACAGT